CCAGCTCCTATGAAGCCTCCTTTCCCCCTCACCAGCCGCCCATCCGCACTACTGATACAGAGACAGCAGTGTGGTAGGGTCAGGAGGCTCCACCTTCCCATGAACACCAGTTTCTGCCTGCCCCCCTGCACTGCTACCTCTGATATAGAGGCAGAGTGCACAGGGGTGGGGGAGCTTACATGTAACTGTGGTGAGGGCAGAGAGGGCACTCCAGCCCAGCTCATCTGGAGTGCCCCCCCTTTAATCAGTTAACCACTTATACATAATGTTTAACTGGTTAACCAAATAAACAGAATTTTACATCTATCCTGCACCCAACCATCCAGCCAGATCCCTAACCCAGACTGCTCCTCCACCCTACCTTCCAGCAAGACCCCACACCCGCACCCTCTCCAGCACCCATTTTTTCATCATGGGCAGTGTCATAGAGCAGACTCACCACCAAGTGCAACTCCTGCTGGTCAAAGAATTAGCATTTTTGGCACTGGAGTACCGCCTTCTGGCTGGTGTCTCACCCACTGTTACTGTTATTCTCCACCACCCTAAATCAGGGTCCACAACTCTCACAGACTATGGCACCCTCTTACCTGGATACTGCCCAACTGCAGTGCCCCCACACTCTGGACTCCTCCCCCTCTGGAGGCTCTCAATCCCCCTATACCCACCTTGCCTCACTGACCCACTGTCAGTCTTCATCTAGCCCCTGCCACAAGGGCAAACTGCAGTCTCAAGTGGCCACTCATCACTGGCAAGGGGTTGTGGACCTGCTGCTTTTGCCTATCCTGGCTGCCTCCTATAGGGGAGCCTGGACAACCCCATCTTGACCAGAATAATAATTTTTGCATTGTCCAGCCCTGCCTTGACCGGATTAACGATGGCTGTCTTGCCCAAAGTGCAGATGTCTAACAAAAGGCCACATGCACACCCAAGAGCAGGTGCGCATGAAAATAAAAGAACTACAGCAGACATAAGCCAGGGACACACATGGCAGCTCCCCAACAGGGACAGACACCTGTCCCTATTTTGATGCCCTGGACCACATCCTGGGGGGCGGAATGGTCCTTGCCACCCTGGGGGGCAGCAATCAGGGAGCAGAGGGCCCTGACCAGGACATGGAGGAGGAGTGCCAGGAGCTGCAGGAGCTGAGATGGAGCATGCCATGCCGCTAGGACTCCCAAGTCGTCCCAGCAGCCGAGTCACCAGGGTAATCTGGGGAGGCAACAACATCTGAGTGCCATCACTGTCCCCTAACTGGGGGGGCGGGGCAGGGAGGGAGACCAGGGACTGCGCATGTGGGCCTTGCTCACCATGGATCACACAGCAACCTGTGCACGTGCAAGCACGTGCTCTGCCACCTCTGGGCAGGTGGCTCCAACTGGCTGCCACACAGGGGTGTTGGCCTGTTAGCCACACGCATGTGTGAAGAGACACGACATGCTCCTGATCTTGGGGTGGGACAAAGCAGGTCTTCCCTCCACAAGGCCATTCTACACAGAGGCAGGGGACATTCTCCCCCCCCCTCAGCCGCACTATACACAGCACAGGGGCATGGATGCAGTCTCGGGGCAGTTCCCACTCTCGGGGATAGCTGGACATTCCGATCATAGCCTCTGTGCAAGCACATCGGCTCTGATGGTGCAGGGCATGGTCATCCTCACCTTGCAGAGGGGGGCTGGGCTTCACCCACTGTCCCCCCAGGGATAACTGACCACTTCTCTTGTTCCTCCACAGCCACACCAGCTGTGCGTGCAGGGTGCACCACCCCGTCCAGGACATGGTACCGCACTCGAGGACTCCGCAGGACCACCCTAACAGTGCAGGGGTACCGACAGTAGCACCTGGGGGTGCCGCGAACCCTGCACCACACCCTCCAGAACTGGGTGCAAGAAGACCTGGAGCTCCGGCCCCCGCCCCCCCCCCCCCCCCCCCCCCCCCCCCCCCCCCCCTCCATACCCTCCTCAACCACCACACCCTCTTCCCCATCCCCCCGAGGACGCCGAGGCCCCCGCATCCACTGTACTGGGAGACAGTTGGCCCGGTGAGACTCCCACCACTGAGCTTCCCCTCCCCCTTCTTCCCCTTGCTTTCCCCTTCCAGCTCCCTCCTCCCAGGTTTCCCCCTCCCCTCTCCCACCTCCTTTCCCCAGTTTCCCCAGAGTTTCATCCCCTCCCCCAGTTTAGTTAAATAAAGAGAGTTTGTATTTATGAAAAAACGTGTTTTTTATTTTACATTAGGAAGGGGGGTTGGAGGGAGGGGGAGTAAGTGGGAGGTCATGAGGAAGGAATAAGGCACAAGCCCCCAGTGGGGCAGACCAGAGAGACTCTTAGTGCTCCTCAGGGTGGAAGCTCTCCCGCAGGTCCTCCTGGATACTGACAGCCCCCCAATGGACCTCCCGGATGGTAGCCCGAGAAAGTGCAGCCAGGCTAGTAGCAACGCATCCACAAGAAACACCAGAGTGCCCAGGGGCAGCTCTTGCTCCATGTTGCAGAGTGCTATGGTGTTCTGAGTGAGGGCAACCAGAGCACACAGAGACCAAATGCTTTGCTGTCCCTCAGTGAGGTAGGCAGGGAAACCTGAGAACAGGCTGCCCATGGGGGAGAGAGGGTCCCTTTATGCACAAGCCTCAGATAGCCTCAGGCAGCAGCCACACAAAGACACTCCTGACCTGATGCCCTGACTGAGCTGGTTCCAGCCAGCCTTAAATGCGATTCAGTGTCCACTCAGTGTGGACTCACTATTTTGAAATGCGTTTTGTGTGTAGACGTGTTATTTTGAAATAACTTATTTTAAATTAACTATTTTGAAATAAAGCTGTAGTGTAGACATACTCAGATGGAGGCAGCAAAGGGGGGAAAAGAAAGGAAACTTCAAAGTGGCGGCATTGCATGGAGCCTGTATCCGGGCTCCATGCGGCGATGCCACTTTTAAACTCCATGGCAGCATTTCAAAAAGGGGCAGCGTTACATAGCTGATCATGGGCTCTGTGTGGCACTGCCTCTTTGAAACGCCACCATTGCGTTTCAAAGCAGCAGTGCCACATGGAGCCTGGAGTAGGCTGGGGACTCCCTAGATGACCCCAGGCTCCCTGCAACATTTCTATGAAACCCAGAGTCAGCTGGGGAGTCCCCACCTGATCCCAGGCTCCATTTGGCGTTGCCATTTTGAAATGTCAAGCAGAGCCCAGGATCAGCTGGGGACTCTCTACCTGATCCTGGGCTCCAGTGCGGCATTTCAAAGCAGCAGCACAGCATGGAGCCTGGAGTTAGCGGGGGAGTCCCCTGCTGACTCCGGGCTCCATGAGGGCGCTTCCACTTTGAAATGCACAAGATCCCCCACTGGGGACTCTTGTACATTTCAAAGTTGGCACGCCACATGGAGCCTGGGTCCAGCGAGAAGTCCCACTGACTCTGGACTCCACAAATGCACAAGAGCTCTTGTGCATTTCAAAGGGTAAGCCCCCTCATGGAGCCCGGAGTCAGCTGGACTTCTTGCTGGCCCCGGACTGCACGCAGAGTTCCACATTGCTCCTGTGAAATGTACAAGAGCCCCAATGGGGTCTTTTATACATTTCAAAGGAGGAATGTGGAAGTGCCTATCAACTAGTTGAGTAGTCAAAGGAAATTCCATCAACTGCTCAACTAGTAAATTACTCGTTAGTCAATATTCTTAATACACACACAGGCCAGACCGAGGGGGGAAGCTTCGAGAGCCAGGAATGCTTTAAACAATCATGTGTAGGGAGTATGGTATAGTGAAACCACACCAAGAACATTGGGAGAAACTTGGTACTAGTACATATTATTTCTGATGAGCAAAAACCACAGACACAGCCATAGAACTGTCAATCAAGTATATAGTTTTTGGCAACAGCCCTGAATAGCAGGATGTATCCCAAATATGGACATAATAGGTATTTTACACAATATGCAGTTGATTGGTAGATATCATTAGAATGACCAAGTCTCACTTTGCTATAAAATGGACTTAGTAAGAAGAATCGATGGGAGGGAGAGAGCAGGACTGACCCACAGGTCCTGCCCATTGTGACTAGAAGTAATAGACCCTTTACACCAGCAACCCCAGTGCATGGTATTCCAACGGGTGGGAATCAAAGGAACCATGATCTTCTGCCTGGTACTGTAAGCAGCATACGGGTGAAGTGTAAGTACCCTAGACTTAATTATTGTTTTATAATAATCTTCTATTCATTGTTTTTGCATTGCTTTGTGCTGTATTAATTTCTTTAGAATGTATAGTATATAAGGTTTACATTGTATAGTAATTGTTTTTAAGGCTTGTAAAATTTAAAAAACTGTGTTAACTGCTAAAGCTTGCAATAAAAAAATAAGTGGTTAAGTCTCTCTGGATTGTCCTGATTTCCCTTGGATCTAAAAATGAATCACACAACACCTCCCTGGAGCACTAGTACCCTGAGGACTTGCTTCAGGCCCTGCAGACTGGGAGCTTGCCTGGCCAGAGATTCCCAGCTCTGCCTGACTTTCCCCAGCCCTGCTCTAAATCAGGAAGCTTCTAGCTTCCCTAGCATTTAGGTCCTTCCTGTTTCTGAGCCAGAGCAAGAGTAAGTCTCTCTCCTCTACAGGAGTCTGTATTTATACTGCCTTCACCTGGGCCCTAATTGGCAGCTATCTGCTGCAGCTCTTTGCTCCATGGCTCCGGCCCTCACCCAGGACTGGGTTTTAACCTCTTAAAGGGCCGGGGAGGGGGGAGAGATACAGGGTCACAGCAGTTGGCTGGTGGTCCATGGAAAAGTCTATGTTGAGTGGGATGGGCCACGGGCCAAAAAGTTTGAGAACCACTGCCCTAAAGAATGAAGCTTCTGCTGAGTGGAAAGTGCAAAATGTAATAGTTTCAGGCTGTGTTAACTTTGGGGCTGATGGAGGGATGCTACCAATTCTCCTTCACATTTATCTTCACCTTAATGGCAGAATCACAGGCCCAAAAGCAAAATCAGGAGACTACAGAAAACACTGATTTCTCACCAGTAAACTGTTATCATCTTCAATGTTGGCAGCTTGGTCACACATAATGTACTTTCCTTCAACCATATGTGGTACTTCTGTCTTCTCTGGTCGCAGCTGGAGACGAGACACCAATTTTGTTTTTGCCAACCTGCTCTGATCATCCATTTGGGTTAAGTATCTTTGGTCCTAATGATGAAAAACAGTTACCTGATATGAATCACTGAACTGTGATTAGGCCTCTATTTTGATTTCATAATGGAGTTGTCCTATTATATATAAAGGGAAAACAAATATTATCAGAGTATGGGCTTAAAAATTAGAAGTCAGTCACAAGTTTTTTGCCCTAATTTATTAAAACGTTGGAACAGATAGTCCAGTTTCCCAATGGCAGCTTAAAAACAGTTTTGAATGGTCTTCAGGCCTTTTACTGGAACTAATATGAAGCAATTAAACTCTTTTCTACTATGTTAGTCATTTATTTACAATAAATAAATGAGTATACATTTAATCCATTAATAATAATAATATAGGTAGCAGTAAAACTAAATAAAAATTATTGCAGGAATATTTAAGGGAAAATAAATCTATGACAAAAAATGTATAATTAATAGCCATGTATTTATGTATCATGTGCAGCATATGCATTACTTCAAGGTTGAGAAACTTTGAAAACATTTTTTACTGAATTCAGCACTAAATAACCAGCTAAAATATCTTCATACACAAATCAATCATTCTCCTTTTTAACCATAAAAACAGTAAATTAAGTCTTTAAACCCAGGTACATAGAAGCACAAATCCTATTCACTCTGGAGTAAAAGCAAATTTCACTCTTAAATTGTCGAACATCACACTAGAATATTGCCACGTCTCTGCCTTTTAGACAAGCCTCTTCTCCATTTCTTCCCCTCCTCCCCCAACTAATGCCTCAAAACTACAAACCCATAAAAAGAATCTCTTCAGGAACAATGACATTATCTGATCTGATCAAGAGGTTCAGCATCCTCAAATCCCATTGATTTCAGTGGAAGTTGTGGGTATTCACCACCTTTAGATGTTGCTTAGCATTTTGCAACTTTGGAGTCAGTACTGACCACACAACTCATACCAGACCACATTTAAATCAGCATAGAATTACTCTGGATTAACAACAGTGTTCCCTCTAATGTTTTATATCCACGTGCAGAATGACTTTAGTTACTGTGATGGATGGAAGGGATACTACCCTTTTCTAAACATCCTAGCATTAAGTAACTAAAGGGTTAAACCCAAAGCAGTGGGTATCCAGAAAGGGTTGGCAGGGATCCAGGAGAGCCAATGGGAAGTGAGTAGATTTGTTTTTAATTAAACAAGTTTTGCCTGTTTCAGTTTTCCTTTGTGTGAGAGTCAGAGCAACAGCTGGGAGAGAAATAGCCTGAACAGGAGTAAGGCATAGATTTCCCAGAAATATCCATGTTTAAGAAAAGAAAACGTAAACTTTGGAACAAAAGAAATGAAAGTGCAATAGGGAATGTTTGGTTAGATGCTATTAGGTTCTTTTTTTTTTTTTTTAACTTTGGTTAAACTAAACCACTCTGTACACTAGGGGGCTGTGTCTACATTGGTGTGATCCTGTCTGCACTAGCCGCGAGTTCTTACACAAGTACACTGACGTTCTAATGTATGAAATCAGTGCTTTTTGCGCAAGAACTCTGATGCTTCCACTCAGGAATAAGCCATCTTGTGCAACTGTTCTTGCACAAGAGGCCAGTGTAGACAGGCAACATGAATTTCTTGTGCAAGAAAGCCCTATGGTTAAAATGGCCATCAGAGCTTTCTTGCACAAGAGAGCGTCTACACCGGCATAACACTGGACCTAACCTCCATGAATTTATCCAGCTTCTCTTTAAACTCTATTATAGTCCTAGCCTTCACAGCCTCCTCTGGCAAGGAGTTCCACAGGTTGACAACACGCTGTGTGAAGAAGAACTTCCTTTTATTAGTTTTAAACCTGCTATCCATTAATTTCATTTGGTGTCCTCTAGTTCTTCTATTATGGGAACTAATAAATAACTTTTCTTTATCAGCCCTCTCCACACCACTCATGATTTTATAGACCTCTATCATATCCCCCCTCAGTCTCCTCTTTTCTAAACTGAAAAGTCCCAGTCTCTTTAGCCTCTCTTCATATGGGACCCGTTCCAAACCCCTAATCATTTTAGTTGCCCTTTTCTGAACCCTTTCCAAGGCCAAAATATCTTTTTTGAGGTGAGGAGACCACATCTGTACACAGTATTCAAGATGTGGGCGTACCATAGTTTTATACAGGGGCAGTAAGATATTCTGGGTCTTATTTTCTATCCCTTTCTTAATAATTCCTAGCATCCTATTTGCCTTTTTGACCGCCGCTGCACTCTGTGTGGAAGTTTTCAGAGAACTGTCCACGATAACTCCAAGATCTCTTTCCTGATTTGTCGTAGCCAAATTAGCCCCCATCATACTGTACGTATAGTTGGGGTTATTTTTCCTGATGTGCATTACTTTACACTTATCCACATTACATTTCATTTGCCATTTTGTTGCCCAATCACTCAGTTTGATGAGATCTTTTTCCTGGTTTGTCGTAGCCAAATTAGCCCCCATCATACTGTACGTATAGTTGGGGTTATTTTTCCCGATGTGCATTACTTTACACTTATCCACATTAAATTTCATTTTCCATTTTGTTGCCCAATCACTCAGTTTGGTGAGATCTTCTTGGAGTCCCTCACAGTCTGCTTCTGTCTTGACTATCTTAAACAGTTTAGTATCATCCGCAAACTTTACCACCTCGCTGCTTACCCCTTTCTATAAATCATTTATGAATAAGTTGAAAAGGATTGGTCCCAGGACTGACCCTTGGGGTACACCACTAGTTACCCCTCTCCAATCTGAAAATTTACCATTTATTCCTACCCTTTGTTTCCTGACTTTTAACCAGTTCTCAATCCAATAAAGGACCTTCCCTCTTATCCCATGGCCATGTAATTTACACAAGAGCCTTTGGTGAGGGACCTTGTCAAAGGCTTTCTGAAAATTTAAGTATACTATATCTACTGGATCCCCCTTATCTGCATGTTTGTTAACCCCTTCAAAGAACTCTAATACATTAGTAAGACATGATTTCCCTTTAGAGAAACAATAATTTGTTGGACAAAAGTCAACATGTTCTTCTATGTGCCTGACAATTACAGACTGGTAAGTCTAACTTCAGTACCGGGCAAATTAGTCGAAACAATAGTAAAGAATAAAATTGCCAGGATCACCCCTAGAGCCCTTTTTAAATATTGGTGTCATGTTGGCTACCTTCCAGTCATTAGGTACAGAAGCTGATTTAAGGGATAGATTACAAACCACAGATAATAGTTCAGCAATTTCCCATTTGAGTTCTTTTAGAACCCTTGGATGAATGCCATCTGGTCCCGGTGATTTTTTAACATTAAGTTTTTCTATTTGTTCCAAAACCTCCTCTAATGACACTTCAATCCAGGACAGCTCCTCAGATTCATCACCCACAAAGAACGGTGCAGATTTGGGAATCGCCCTAACATCCTCAGCTGTGAAGAGCTGGGGCTCTCAGACTGGAAGTGGGACAGTAACACAGTGTCCCAGAAAGTCTCATCAACATAGCTCTCTGCCTCCCTTAGCTCCTCCAGTTCAGCCACCCTGGCCTCCAAAGCCCGAACTCGGTCTCTGAGGGTCAGGAGCTCCTTGCAACAGGTGCACACATACGCCACCCGCCCACAGGGCAGGTAATCATACATGTTACACATGACACAATAAACAGGATAGCCCCCACTCTGCTGCTGGGCTTCTGTCTCCATTTTTCTTATGAATAAGTTTAATTATAAACTAGGCTTCTTTTTAAATGTCTGGAATATAGATTATTATAAAAGTTACGTTTAAAAAAGGCATGGATGCTCTTGCGCAAAAGCACATCTCTTGTGCAAACACACATGACAGTGTAGAGGCTCTCTTCTGGAAGAGTTTTTGAACAAGAACTCTTCCGCAAAAGAGTTCTTGTGCAAGATCATGCCAGTGTAGACTTAGCCAGGATGTAACAGGGTAGTCAATTAATGCCATAGACTGCACACTTCCCCACCCCCATGCACTTTCCAGTAAATTTTTTATCAGGCTGGCCAGCAGCCCAGCTCAGTCTTGGCTCATGCCAGGTCCGGGGCCTACCCCTGCTTCAGCTCTGCATTTAAAGTGTACTAGGAGCCAGGCAGACAGGCAGCCCAGCTCAGTTCTGGCTTGCACTGGGTCCGGGAGCTCAGGCCTCCACCCCTAGAAAGGGGCTGCTGCCACGCCCCTTTGCTATTGGAGATGGTGCTGGGGGGAGCCAGCTTAAAAGCCAGTTGCAGTGGGGAGGCTTCATCGCAGGCTCTGCAATATAAAGCTTATTTTTATCTGTTACACAGTTAGCTTTTTAAACACAGTTTTACAACCCTAGTGTCTACAAATACAATTTTGTAACTAAAACCCTGCAAATTTGTGGGTATCAATGCAAATATCCATGCCTCAGTTTTGCAGATATAGATGCTGATGTAAATTTTGTATCCATGCAAGGTCCAACTCAAAAGTAAGTCTACAATTTTTATTCATGGGTATTTTTACTAAAAAATTAGTCACAAATAGGTCACAGGAAGTAAACAAAAATTCATAGCCCATGACCTATTCCAGCTCTCTGCCTCCCTTAGCTCCTCCAGTTCAGCCACCCTGGCCTCCAAAGCCCGAACTCGGTCTCTGAGGGTCAGGAGCTCCTTGCAACAGGTGCACACATACGCCACCCGCCCACAGGGCAGGTAATCATACATGTTACACATGACACAATAAACAGGATAGCCCCCACTCTGCTGCTGGGCTTCTGTCTCCATTTTTCTTATGAATAAGTTTAATTATAAACTAGGCTTCTTTTTAAATGTCTGGAATATAGATTATTATAAAAGTTACGTTTAAAAAAGGCATGGATGCTCTTGCGCAAAAGCACATCTCTTGTGCAAACACACATGACAGTGTAGAGGCTCTCTTCTGGAAGAGTTTTTGAACAAGAACTCTTCCGCAAAAGAGTTCTTGTGCAAGATCATGCCAGTGTAGACTTAGCCAGGATGTAACAGGGTAGTCAATTAATGCCATAGACTGCACACTTCCCCACCCCCATGCACTTT